AGATGGCAAACGTGTCGTAAGCCGCGTACGCCGTGTTCCCCTCCACATCCTCCATATCCACCCTGAGCTGGTAGACTTTCTGCACAGCCAGGCGGTACAAGTTGTCATTCCCCAGCCAGAACTCGCCGTTCAGGTTGGAAGGGAAGCCGGTCTTGTAGTCCGACCAGCCCCGGTAGAAGTCCACACTTCCGTCTTGGCGTCTCTGGAACAACTTTAAGAGCAACAAGAAGATCGGAGATTTTAGAATGATTCCACAGATGACTAAATTCTCAATACCGAACCCTTCCAGTCACATTCTTAGATAAACGAGACAACAAATATACCTTCAAATGAACTTTCGCAATAAAGTTAGAAGATAATACTAACAAATGGAGCTGTATCTGTATCTGTATCTGTGTCTATACAGCCGGTACAACCACCCATTGGCGTAACACACCTGCTTCACAGGCACATGGCGCGGCGACAGCTTGGTATATTACATATAAACTTTGACCAAGTGTGTATGTCATACTTGTGGTCAGCAAAACGTAAGAAGGCCTTTATGGACATGTGATAATATTTGGTATGTGGGTAGATCGTAGGAAGGCGCAGGTCAAGGTGAAATTTCGGCCTCCTGGTCGCCGACATTAGTACTGCAGCAGAACTTTCGGTTTTGTATCTTTGGCATGCTATGGTCTTGGTTTTTTGGTGGCTGCAAATTTCCGGAAACGTGACTTTGTTCCGTTTGTTTTGGCCGCGAAATCCCTGATATCGCAAAAGCTGTGTACGTATCTTTGTATTTTCTAAAAAAAGTCTGTTAAGCGTATCCTTCATAAGTGGCGTAATATTTGTGTCCCAGCGAAGACTTCCTGGTATTAGTCCGCGAGGACTAATGTTGCCTGTTCGTCTCTACAATCACAGCCGGCGTTGTCTGAAGTCGAACTGAACCACGGCGCATACTCCACCGTCTCCCGACACGGAAGGATGCCAACAAGAAGCATGTCCAGATCGCGAGATATCAAGACCGGAAGTTTCAAGGAAAACCACTAGGGGGAGCCAAAATGAAATAATTTCCAGTTTTCGTCAGACCCTATCAATGCACTAAATATGACACCAATCCATCCATTCGTTCTTGAGTTATCTTGTTGACTTAATTACCGACGTACAAATTTAACTGAAAATATAAACCTCCATGACATGTCATGGTGGTAATTACAACGGGTCTAAATGTTTTCATGTAGTGATGAAGTCTCTTCTTGTTGAGAAATTATAGATAAATGACCAGACTTACCGTCCAGCCGCCTCCGTCCGTGTCCATATCACAGAAGACGTTGAAGCCGCCCAGGTTGTCCCGTGGATAAACCATGTACACGCCGCTGGGCGTGGTCTCGTCGTTGTCAAGGATGTCCTGACAGTCTTGGGGCTTCTCGGTGGCTGTGTCGTTGACTGAGGTACATAAAATGGTGCACAGTCGTTAGTATATGGCCAATTGACATACAACATACCTACCGAAATTCATAAGTGTAAAGAGGTAACGTTAAATCACAAATACATTTGTGTTTTCAGTGAAGTAAATTGACAGCCCTTCCATGATATGCACCTTTAGTTATAGAGCTTAAGCTTGTTCCAACACAAATAAGTAACTCACCATAAATTTTCCACTGGACCCGTCAACCTTCATAGCCTCTTGTCGCCCTTTTGATTTGAAGTTGATGTATTAAACTGTATATACAGCCAGGACTGCCCAACAATCATATATAGGTGTTCCTTTACTGACAAGCTATCTAAAAGCGTTCTGGCTAAATCGCCATGCGTTTACTATATTTACATTGTCAGTACGATTCAATTGAACATGTACAGAGTTTTACTAAGTAGTTATCAAGCAATATCCTGGATGACCACCCGTTGTTTTCTGTCCGAGACATAGATGTAGAACCAGCCATGCATGAGTCAAGTGATTCCATATGCTCATAGTTTGGAGAGAAGTCCTACGTGCCAAACCTTATCAAATGCCTTCGGAAGGTCTAGAAATACACAGTCCACTATTTCTCCTCTATTGATGGCATCAGTCCACTCTTCTATCTCCGAGTCAGCGGGAGGGTTGTATTGTTTTGTCAGTTAATATCCGGTTGACATGAGCCGTTTGACGTTTGTTAACAAGAGTCTCTAGAACTTTTGAAACTGTGCTAGCAATGTCTGTAATTGCGAGGTAGAGGTTGCCAGATTTGTGTTATCTTGTCACGTCGTTCACGAGATTCTCAATATAACCGTTTCCACCCTTCTTGTGAGATTGGTCACAAGGTTTCTCAGTAGTGGCAAGGAATTGGACATTGTAGAACATGGGGTATTTCAGAACCTACCAAAAAAACTTACCAAAGCAATGCGGTTTATTTCAATAAGATATCATCTCTAATATTTCACCAGGGTTTCACAGTGTTTTTAAACTAAAATATCCACTGATCTATTGGTATAAGTTGTTGATTGCTTCAAGTAGCTGTATGCCCTTTGGTCTACTATGTCCAATTTCTTGCAGTATATTAAGATATCTTTGTCTTCTGTAAGTGGCCCAGACGTCCTAGATGTTTACCGGGTTTGCACTGGAGTGCTTTGTGGATTGGTTCGACTGCATGGCATTGTGTGCAGTATTGAACGGTCCCGCGTGCTTCACCCTGCTAAATTTAAGGGTGGGACGCTAGCTTGACAGCCGGACGATACCACTCTTACTAGTGGTGGGGGTGATGGTACATGGACGTTGAGCAGGCAGCAGCTTTCTTAAACTTGAAAAGTTGCCAAACACAACACGTGTACGGAAAATCACTAACCATGGGATTTAAAACTTGGCACGTACTATAAGCGTCCTCCAGAGTTGGGGGGGGGGTGGTGGTGTCAAACAGGGTGAGGGGGGGGGTGACTGCAGTCGGTTCTAAAACGTTACCCGGGGCGGGGCGTCGAGGCCTGTATGGCCGAGGGGAGACCAAAGTAGGAGGTCGGTGATCAAAAAAGGTCCGTAGTTGAAGGAAAGTCCGTAGTCCGTTCAAAAAAGTAGGCACAACAGTATCGCAGATCGGCCGCAGGTAGGATTTGACCCGGACACCAGGTATAACTATGATCCTATAATATGAGCGTCGCCCAGGGGGGAAACTGCACTCCAGTCCAGCCCTGCCTTGACCCGACTCCTACAGAACTTAATTATTAACATGATAAAGAAGAATAGAATCTTTAAAAAAACTTTTATGACATGTCATAGTAAACGTACCTTCAGACCCACACGTCCTTCTCTGGGAAAGTTGCTCCACTGCGATTTTTAGTTGCTCCAGCTCTGCTCGAAGTGCGTCGCCATTCCCACAATACACCACCGGGCTACACACACATGTCTTGTCTGACGACTGGGCAGAGCGCAGGGACACGAACGTAACAAGTAACACCAGAAGACTGAGAAAAGGCGACGCCATGGTGCAAAGTGCTTCCTTGTAGGCGAAGAAAACGCTGCCAAGTGTACATATGCCCAGAAGGAAGTATTCCGCTTAGAAATTGCAACGTCATTATATACCGTGCGGCTGACGTCACTGTCAAAACGGTCACTTCCGTTTGTGTTTTGTGGAACCTGGCACCGGACGTTTATACCAATCCTACACACCGAAGAAGCGCAAATTTAAATAGAAAAGCGCGTAAAACCGATACATAAAAGAAGTACTACATCTTTGCCTAATTCGTATGCCACATATAATTGCATGGCCTTTGGCAAAAAAAAATCAAATCTGAATGGTGTGCCATGGAGCAATGTCTCACTAGCACGGCCTTGGCATGAACCAGCCGGAAGGATGGAAGATTTCTGAGACCCTTAGGTTGCGAAAGGCAAAAAAATACAAAATTCATTATGATCACTTATTATTATGATCAGTTATGAGTTTAATAATCGTGTAAGGGATGGTTCATTACAATGTATGTATGTTTTTTATAAATGAATTAAAACAAAACGATCTTACAATATGGGATGTGCCGTTCTAATTGTATCTTAAAAGGAAGCCATCGTAATAAGGTAACATCCATGTACTTATGTAAACTGAAATAACAAAGTAAAATGTACAGCCGAACTGCATGTAATGGTTTTTCAGCTTAGGCCACAACAAGTAATTTTCATGGATGACTGGATAGCGTATTGATCCCCCCCCCCCAAAAAAAAGAAATTCTGTTTCTATGACAAAAGAGTTATGAGAGTACCGCAAATCGTAACATTAACGTAAAACTCGTAACGCAAAATATGAGCATAAGAAACAGGAAAGAGGACAACTGCTGTTCCACTGATTCATAGCTGACAAATAAGAGAGTTGTTGGTTGTTACTCCGTGCTCTCTCTTCAATTTGTGTCCTAATATTTGTCACTAAGTATATTTCAAATAATCTAGTCGTCTTTTTTCTGCTCTTCTTGTTTTTTGTCGTGCTGATAAATTTAGGGTTTACAGAGGATGTTACCTATAAGAATTACTTATTCATATGAAAAACCGTGTGACATTAGGACACAGCAAATAATTTTGATGGATGACTTTGGAGCGCGCATTAATTTACGCCTGATTTTCGAAAAAAAAACAAGAAAATTTGTTGCCCTCTTAAAGTGGTCAACATGCCGAAAATGGGCAAATATGTCTGTTGCCATGCCGGAAGGTGGATGGCAGATAAATATGAAGAGAGGAGACAAGAAAAGGCTTTGATTTAATTTTTTTTTACTTTGATGCAGTGATATATTGTTTTGTTTGTTTGTTTGTTTGAGCCTTTATTTCAACTCGATCTGTAACAGTGTTACATGCTCTAATCGGCCGCTATTTCGGCCGCTTTTCATAGAGGTCGAGCGTGGAGGAGTGTCAGGGGGTCATAACATAAATACTACTTGCTCACAAATGAAAACAAAGTAAAATTTTTTATACATAAGGTAACTCACACAAAGTAAATAAATAAACAAAATGGCATCGTGCTGGCTGTGTATATGTGACGTTCCCACTGAGTCAAAAACAAAATGTAGGAACGCGGCCCGCCTTGTTTTTTTTTCGCCCGCTTGCATTAGATTTGGAGTCTGCGAAGGATGTCATCCATAAAATTTAGTTGCTGTGGCATTATGGAGCTGGTCGGATTTTCATCTCAGTGCGCTTCAGGGAGTAGTTATGACCCTTCCAGTGGTACCAGATGACTCCGTCAGCGAAACTCCCATGAGTACCCAGGTGGTACAGGCCGTTCAGGTTGGAGTAGTGACAGCTTGTGTACCACCACGCACCTTTGTGTGACTGAGCACAGCTGTACGTGCGGTCGTCGTTATCTCTGTCCTTGGTACTGAATGGTTTCCCGTCATGCAACATCAAGCTGTCCCCTGTGACAAAGGGACAAATTTGACTTCATTTCTTTTGCGCTTGATTTAGCAGATACATATTTTGCTTCGGTCTTTATGTAAAACCAATATGATGATAACAACAAAGATTCAGATTAACATCTGAGATATTTTTTTAGCTGATAAATGTTGCATTTTTCCTTCTGTATAAATACTAATTTAGTAATCTAAATCATTTAATTTGAATCTCGCTTACATACTCGTATAAGAAGCAATATTATTCTCCTAGTACGTTAATGCCGAACAAATTCAGTTGCTTCTTTTTAGTATGACCTAACTCCACAATACCCAAAGTAACTAGACGTCAAGACAAAAGGCCACACAGGCAATTATTTTGTAGACGTACTTACTTTTTATATGAAAAAAAAGGTTCGTGATTTTAACATTTTACACCGTAAGAAAAAATATAAATCAAAGATATTGCAACATCAAGACAATTTACATAAAGGTAACATTTGCAAAGCAAATGCATAATGTTTATCTTCGCATATGGTCTGTTCTGTTAATACTTACTTAAACACATTTATTTACATGGTGACAGGAGTCTTAACCCTCCTGCCATAAAATTGCAACATGATGTAACCCAATACTAGTTACAATGGTAATAGACGTCCCGTTCAGTTCATTAACCTAAATTTTCGGAGAAGAAAAAGAGGAAACAGAGCAAAAACAATATATATTAAAAGCAGAGCAAAAACAATAACATAATAAACAGATGGGCGGAAAATCATTCACTATTGGCTCAACTCCGAGTGATGACCCTGCTACAATTGCCAACCTTACCTGCAGTACCGCTGTAAGTCCCTATGTGGAGCTTGTAGTTCTGTGATTCAGGTGAAATGGCAAACGTGTCGTAAGCCGCGTACGCCGTGTTCCCCTCCACATCCTCCAAATCCACCCTGAGCCGGTAGACTTTCTGCACAGCCAGGCGGTACAAGTTGTCATTCCCCAGCCAGAACTCGCCGTTCAGGTTGGAAGGGAAGCCGGTCTTGTAGTCCGCCCAGCCCCGGTAGAAGTCCACGGTTCCGTCTTGGCGTCTCTGGAATACCTTTAAGAGCAACAATAAAATAAAAGCAGCAAGATTTTAGAACGATTCCTTGGATGGCCGAATCCCCAATACCGAGCCCTTCAATTCAAGTCACATTCTAAGACATTTGACCTCGTCATTCTGTCAGACACACAAACCCACATCATCTTCCTAAGGCAATACTTCTATACCCAAATGGATAAAAGAGATCAGGATAACAAATATACCTTGAAATAACTGTCTTTACCAAAATGATAACAACAAATGAAGCTGTATCTTTATCTGTATCTCCTGTCTGTATAGCTGGTATACTAGTAACCGCCCCTCGGCGTAACACATGAAGTTTCCATGGGTCTTATTTAATGACCAAACGTACCGTCCAGCCGCCTCCGTCCGTGTCCATATCACAGAAGACCAGGAAGCCGCCCAGGTTATCCCGTGGATAAACCATGTACACGCCGCTGGGCGTGGTCTCGTCGTTGTCAAGGATGTCCTGACAGTCTTGGGGCTTGTCGATGTCTGTGACGTTGGCTGAAGTACATAACACGGTGTACAGTCGTTAGTATATGGCCAATTGACATATAACTATTAACATACCTACCGAAATTTATAAGTGTAAAGAGGTAACGTTGCATCACAAAGACCCTGTTCAATCGAAGACACTGTAACTGCATTGGATCCAGGTTCCACCGAAGCAGGATTCATTTGGCGCCATCTGAACACTCTAAATCACATTTAAAGTGCTTCCAACTCGGGGGGGGGGGGAAGGGATGTTACGAACACACACCCCAGTTTATTTTGGGTCTCGATTCTGCACACTCTCGAGTCATAAGCGTCCGTGTATTTCAGGAAATAATTCTCAAGCCAAAACACTGTGTTTGCAAATGAGGGATGTCCCTCCAGCTACGAGAACTACAGAATATAACTTTCTTAAACCTTTCAAATGTTAGTAAATTTTAGGAGCAAAAAGAACTTTCGATGAAAAATGATGCTAAAAAGTTGGCCAGTTTCACGTGCAATTAAACCCATCACCCATACTTTACCCATAAAAACGACGTATGTTGTCGGAAAGAGAAAACCCTTATGTGTTATTAAGAGAAGTATAAAGAAAATCCTTAACACTGAGATTATCACAATAGCCCGTCGCGCAAGGCATAGCGACAGCACCCCCAAAACGTATGTACAAGGCATATCTGGGTCAAATCGAAGCACCGCACTCAAGGCGGAAGGACACCCGGAAGTAAGCCTAGGGCCTGAAATCAATTTTCACCCAAAACACGCCACTTCTTATGCTTTCCAGCCATGTTAGTAGTTAACACAATTTTGCAGCAGATTATGAGAAATGTGAACTCAAACATGAACCATCGAAACCACTTCTTCACTTTTTTTACAGAGCACCCCTGTCGCAGAAGAATTGCTGTGTGCACCGTTCAACGCATTCCGACCTCAGCCTGAACGCAATGTGACTTGACATTGCGTAACATATTGGTCCGGCCAATATGTTACAAATAATAACATCTTGGTCCGGCCATGGATTACGTGGTGATATTTCTTCATCTATATTCAATTCATGTACCAAATGTACGTAGCAGCAACTTCAAGAGCAATAATGACCGAATAATGTGCCCATTGTAGGACGAACTTCACCGCCTCTGGCAAGACCACGTAAGCATTCGGTGGGAGGGGGGCACTAGCAAGCAGGCCATTGACCTCTAACATTGATAACACGCTTCCTACCAAAAATGATTGTAGCTTGATCGTGCCGGGACAGGTTTAGAGGAAACGTGTATTACGTAGACCAGATGTGATTAGTGTAATTTACCCGAATCACGGCTCCAACGTTTTCACCTGAACAGGGCTAAAGACGTTTGTGTTTTCAGTGAAGTAATTTGGTAACCCGTCCGTGGTATGCACCTGTTACCTAAAAAAATATTAAACCCTGCACATGTTTTCATAGCCTCTTGTCGCACTACTTACATGTTAAGGAAGAATATATTCTGTAAAACTTATATCATGGCATGTGGTAGTAAACTTGCCTTCAGATCCACCCGTCCTGGTCTGTGAAAGTTGCTCCACTGCGATTTTCAGTTTCTCCAGCTCTGCTCGAAGTGCGTCGTCATTCCCACAATTCACCACCTGACTACACACACATTTCTCGTCTGACGGTGGTCTACAGACCGACTGGGCAGAGCACAGGAACACAGACGTTACAAGGAACGTTAGAAGACCGATAGAAGGCGACGCCATGGCGGGGAAGTGCTTTCTCGTTGGTGAAGAAAACGCTAATATGCCCACAAGGAAGTCTTCTGCTCAGAAGTAGCAACGTATTTCTAAACCGTACCATTGTATTTTCTCATTGAATGGTGCGGCTAACGTTACCGTCAAAACAATCTTTTTTTTGTGCTTGGTGTTTGTTGTCAGTGGCACCTGACACCTCCAAGTGTGTCTGCAAATATTTGATTTGATTTGATTTTGATTTATTAGGATTGCAAGCAAGTACAATACTCGTGGGCCACAGGCAGCGGGGGCTGGTGTTGTGGCCCACACACAAAACAATCACAAGCTCACAAACAAGACACACATTTAAACCTAGTATAAGTATATAAATAAGTATAAGGGTACTAAAACAGCATAGATTAGAATACTAGTATATCAGTCCATTTAGCACTAGATACAGTTCATGCGGTTTCTAGCCGCCAGAATGTTCTCGTATCTGGGGCCACGTCTCCGGGTCAACTGGTGCTTCTGCTGTGTGAGCAGGTGGGCCCGACACATGTTCTTAAATATAGTGATGCTGCGGGCCTCTCTAACAGACTGAGGCAGCTGATTCCACAGCCGTGACGCATAAGGCAGAAAGCTGGCCTTGTACGTCTGTGTACGGCACCGAGGTAAGTGGAGGTGCGTTGCGTTCCGCAGCTGAACACGTGTGACCCTTTGGTCTCCTCGTGTGGTGGGAGTTAGTGGCTGGAGGTGAGGGGGGACTAGTCCGTTCACCAGTTTGTACATCAGAACCATGGAATGGAACTGCCTCCTGGTGGACAGACTGTCCCATTCTAACTCCTGCATGACGACACTTGATGGTGTACGTCTCAAGGCTCCGGTGATGAGGCAGCCGGCCTGGTAATGCACTCTCTCCAACATCTTGCTGGATGAGCAGGACAAGTCCCCGAGCAGTACGGCGGCGTACTCCAGTTTTGGTCTAACCATTGTGTTGTACGCCATTTCAAGTGCCTCCCGGGATAGCTTGCCCTGGAGTTTCCATAGGAAACCCAGGGTTCGCCTGGCCTTACTGGTTGTGATCTGGACATGATCGGTCCAGCGTAAGGTTTGGTGGATGGTTGTTCCCAGGTGGGTGTAGAACGGCACTTGTTCAACTTCCTGCCCTGCGATGTATATGGGAGGAAGCTGTACCTTGCTTCTAGGGGACTTGATGCAAAGTACTTTGCATTTATCTGGGTGAAGTTGGAGACCCCAGTCGAGGAACCAGGTAGATACCAGCTCGAGGTCGATGTTAGTTGTTCTGGCCACTACCTGGGCGGTTGGTCCAGACTTGGAGAGCGAGGTGTCGTCAGCAAAACAGTTTATATTGGAGGAGCAGGGGAGTTCTTTTATGTCGTTGATGAACACAAGGAACAATAGCGGGCCTAAGATGCTTCCTTGTGGCACGCCAGCCTGCGTGCTTCCCCAAGTAGATGCAACCCCATTGATCACAACACGTTGCTGACGTCCGGCAAGATAGTCCGCAAACCAGTTGTTCAGGGGCCCCTTGACCCCATAGCGGGACAGTTTATAGATGAGGCCATCATGCCAGACGGTGTCGAATGCTCGACGGACATCCAGAAAGACAGCAGCTGAACAGGAGGTGTTAGGGTCATCTATGGACTTGGCCCATTCGTCTACGAGACGCAAAAGCTGCAGTACTGTTCCATCCCCTTTCTTGAACCCTGACTGGTTGATGTTGAACAGATCGTTGTTCGCAAGGTAAGTATAGAGACGATTGTGAACCAGTCTCTCCAGGACCTTGGGAACAGCTGGTAGTAGTGCAATGGGTCTGTAGTTGGAGGGGTCAGTGCGGTCCCCCTTCTTGTATACAGGAGAGACGTTACACTGCTTCCACTCTGCAGGTAGTTGGCCTGTTGAGAGTGAAAGATTGAACAGATCGCATAAGGAGGTACAGATGACTGGTGCTGCCTCCTTAAGGAGTCGGTTAGATATCCCATCAGGACCAGGGGCCTTATTGGGATGGAGTGCCTGTAGGGCTTCTTGGACTTCCTCCACGGAAACTGTGATTGTATTGAGTTCCTCGTTGGTAAACATAGGAAGTCTCCTGGTACTATCGGGGTGGATGGCTTCCCGGGTGACGTTGACGAACATGTTATTCAACAGTTCAGCCTTGTCCTTGTCTTTTGACACCACTGTACCGTTCGCAGAGAGTGCTGGGATGCCGGTCTTACCCTTCCCAGTTGCTTGCTTGAGTACAGACCAAAAGAGGTGAGCACTTTCAGCGGATCTTAGTCTCTCGCTTACGGTGGAGTAATACTCGGCCTCGGCATGGCGAAGATCTTTGGTCAGGCGGTTTTTGGCCTTTGTGTAGGTTTTCCAGTTCTCGTTTGACGGTGATGTCTTGAACGTGTTGTACAGTTCAGTTTTGACCCGGATTGCATCCAATAACTCAGCAGTGATCCAGGGTTTACGTGCGGCTGTTACCTTTGTGTACTTATTGGGAACAGTGCTTTTAGCGACATTCAGGAATTTAGTCTTCCAACCGGTCCACCTCTCATCAATAGAGCCTTGCATACAAGAGTCCCAGTTAACTTTACTAAGTTCAGACCTAAATACATCAAAATCTGCACGATTGTATAGCCATATGTGTTTCTTGATAGTGCGCGTAGTAGGTATAGATAGGTTGAGTTTACAAGTTATAACTGCATGATCAGAGTTTCCGACAGGTGCTAGGGTAGACATGCTATTGATTCTAGATGGTTCAGACAGTATAATGAGATCTAGGGTACTTTGGCGGGAAGGAGTGGATCGGGTTGGTTGGTGTTGACACTGATACAGGCCGTACCTCTCTATGATATCAACAAGGTTTAATGCATGGTTATCTGTTGTTGTATCTCCCAGTCTATGTGATGACAGTTGAAGTCTCCAATAATGCAAATAGTGCCATTTTCTTTTGCAGCCTTTGAGATAGAGATTTCAAACTGATCGTAGAAGCTGTCAGGGGCAGATGGTGGTTTATAGACACAGGACAGAAGGACTTTATTGCCCGCTACGTTGAGCTCTACCCATAGGTCTTCCCAGTGAGAATCACAGGTTTCTAGGTCGGCTCTCCGTTTACTGGTGAGGGTGTCACTGATAAGAATTGCAATACCTCCTCCAGTTTTACCTTGTCTGTCCTTTCTGTATATGGTACTATATCCTGGAATGTTAATATCATTGGGGAGGATATTTCCATGTAACCATGTTTCAGTGATACCCATAACAGAGATCTTATTTGTATGTAAAAGGGTCTCAAGTTCAGAGATTTTAAGATGACCGGAAGCTGAATTAGGGTTTAGGCTGCGAACGTTCGTGGTTCCTATTGTAAACATGACTGTAGCAAGTATACATACATAAACAATTGGGGTCACATAAGATGGCATACTGTTTAAGCCAGTTGTTTAGGTTGGTAATCTAATTAAATGGGCTGATTTCACTCAGGTGATGGGAATGTTGAGTGATTTACATATCAATTGGGCAGTCAATCGAGATTTACATATCAATGGCGCAAAACAATCTAATCTAGTTTTCTAACTCAAGGTACATTCATGCCGGTATACTTAAGTTAGGAATAGTACTCGCTATACTTAACTTACATGTAAATCTAAAATAAAAATCAACATCAATGTTTGACACTGCACAAATAAATTTCAAATCAAATCACTGGAACTTTACCTTGCTTTGACTGTTAAAACATTGTACTTAGACTGTTACATATTGCACTTAATCATCATGATACAATAAAACATTGCACAAGCTAAGAGTAAGTTATTATATTCTACAAATTAACACTGATATTTGCACAAAAATGTCAGGGCTAAAATCTATACAATCCTAGTTAATTATATTCGAATACAGTAGAAATGTTGGGAGATCAGAGGTCGTAAGGGAGCATGCCCTCCCCACAATAATCCAGGACAATAATGGGAATAACAGGCTAACAAATATAACAATTCGAACAAACAAGTGTAAAAAATAACCCAAGCAGTTAAGTCTTAAGTGTTTACGCACTGGTTTAGATAAAACGAGGAAAAAGGATTGGTCGTGAGAGAGTCAGATTTTAGTGGATTAACTGTAAAATTTTCTTACAAATAAAATTAGGCTACCTGTAACCCCTGGTGACCTCTGACCTCTGATATTAAGTCAAATGCTATATTTAGACTGTGACTAGTAGTTAGGGGTAGTAGGGGAATAACCTAACTGCGTTCACCAGTATCAAGAGTCTTGCTGCAGTCTTGCTGCAGTCGTGCAAATGTCACTATTTTTGAAAGGCCCATTCTGAGTCCCCGTACTGTAACAAATGGTGAGTGTATCCAGGCCAACTGAAAACAGTCCTTTTCTTGGTATGTTATGTAATTGTCATTGGGTGGGCCGGCTACTCTCTATTCGCAGCCAAGGGCTGAATTGTGAGGAGCTAATACAATTATTAGGGCTTAATCGCAATGGTCTGGAGCGTCTGCCATTCCGCGCTAACTCAGGTGACCTCAATTCGACCCCAGGTGTGGTCATGTGACTGCAAGGAACTCAAACATGGAAGGACCCCTACTCTTTTCGATAAGTGTGATGAGTCTTTTTTAACGTGCATGCGTGGGGTATGGCTCTCCCAAACTCGGGACCTCCATTTAACGTCCTATCCGAGGGACGTCCCTAACCAAAGCTAGGTACTCATTTACACCTTTTACCTCAGTGGAGTGATTAAAGCCGTGTTAAGTGCCTTTCCCAACGGCACAAGCTTGAAAGATCGGTGACAACTTTGGATTCGAACCCAGGACCTCTTGGTTTCGGGCCGAAGACGCTACCGCTACGCCGCACGAACCCAAGTATATCTGTGGATAAATGTTGGCATTTTTCAGCTGGAAAGTTATTTCCTTTTCTATTTTGTTGAAAAAACAAACTGGCATTTACTCTTGTTCTGGCTGCCTTGTAGAGCTCTAAAAGTAATCCAATCTTGTTGTTTTTGGTGGTGTATGGGCACCTTGGCGTTTCCTAAGGCGCCGCTCGGCTGACAAGTGTCGTACAAAAGCTTCTTCGTCTTTTCGATCTTGTCATTAGTATAGGTCTCGAGACCTATACTATGCACAATATATCGTTAATGAATATTTCTTGTTTCATCTCATAAAAACAACTGAGCCATACATTCTACACGGCTACAGTTATGTGTTTACTTTAAAATAACTAGGTTAGTGAATGGATGGCTCTAGAAAAATGGGCATTACCTATGTGTTCGTTGAATCTACGTTCTCTCACATGTAACGTCAGAAGCAGGTGGCTTGAAGCAGCTATGGGTGGTCGGCAGTCATAAATATAAAGCACTTCGTGGTTCTGGCAATCGTATAGGCTTGATGTTTAACTCTGCAAGGCCTACTTGTACTTGTGAATTTCTATGGGTCAAACCATGGACACTTGTTGCATGGTCCCTTTTTAATAGAACCTTGTCCAACAAGTCGGCAAATTTCTTATGCTTTATTCACCAGAAATGCCACTGGATTAATACACAGTAGTAATGATAACTACTCCTCAGATTGTATCGTTAAATGCACTTGACTACTCCGTTGGGTTAAGGCGGACCAGGCTTATGGGAAAGTAGTATTCTATAGAAACCGCGAAGAAACTTCACACAGTTTTAGTAGTGCTTGTAATACATTGAATACAGTGTACTTCAGTTTTGCTACTCCTGGATTTGGGGTTCAAAATATACATTTTGGTGTAGATCAAAATTTATGGAAAATAGCCTGGGACAAATTCAATAAGAAAGCGATATTACGTAAACATTGAGTACTCTAAAGATCAATAATGTTGTTTTCAACTGCAGGTAAGATCGTTTAAGTCATAATCCGTGAATACAATGGGTGATTTTGGGTTTACAGGGATACATACAAATGACCGCCGATGACCCCGAATCAAACACGCGTTCTGTTCGAATGACGTCAGATCAAACATGGCGGAACATGATTCGGGTTCAAAAAAAAGTCTGGGGACATCGTGCAAACACACGCCCGAACTCGAACATGCCTGGGCTGCCTTACTCTAACAGAGTATTACATCATTAGGCCATGTTGATTTGATTTTAACCCCAAAACTGACGCGAGCGTGCGTTTGGCAAAAACGTTTCCTTTATCATGAAACCTATGTGGTCATAAAGGACTTAAAACACATATGTGGTGAAAAAAGGATAGATTCTTCATTTTCCAATACTTCTTCTGCAACATACGACTTAATGTTTGCTCATTTTGTACGATTTACAGTATGGTCGAAAACGGTTTTTTTGGAAACGTCCGAAACTTTATGCGCGCGCGGATGTCATCCATATAATCAAATCAACATGGCCTTATTTACACTTAATCCAGCACTAACAGACAAACAGGAATACTCGAAAACAAAGAAGTTAAAAGTGCATTATAACGGCTATGCATGATCCTGGTCCACAAGAATAACTAATTCTAATGTCTTTTTTAGCTGTACGGTTATAATTGATCTTCTTATTAGACTTATTATTATGATCAGTTAAGATATATTGTTATCTTGATTATTATTATGATCATTGTTATTATTATCATCAGCTATTATTATGATTAGTTGTGAGTTATTGTTATTATTGTTATTATCATTATGGTTGTTATTATGATCACTTATTATTATGATCAGTTATGAGTTTAATCTTCGCGTAAGGAATGGTTCATTACATTGTATGTATGTTTTTTTTATAAATGAATTAAAACAAAACGATCTTACAATATGGGATGTGCCGTTCTAATTGTATCTTAAAAGGAAGCCATCGTAATAAGGTAACATCCATGTACTTATATAAACTGAAATAAGAAAGTAAAATGTACAGCCAAACTGCATGTAAAGCTTTTTCACCTTAGGCCACACCAAGTAATTTTCATGGATGACTGGATAGCGTATTGATTCCCCCCCCCCCAAAAGAAATTCTGTTTCTATGACAAAAGAGTTATGAGAGTACCGCAAATCGTAACATTAACGTAAAACCCGTTATGCAAAATATGAGCATAAGAAACACGACAAGGCGATAACTGCTGTTTCATTGATTTATACCTACTTTCATGGCGAATGAGACAGATGTTGGTTGTTACTCTGTGCTCTCTCATTCAATTTGTGCCCTAACATTTGTCTATAAGTATATTTCAAATGATCTTGTCGTCTTTTTCGACTCTTGTTTTTTTCGCGCTGTTAAATTTAGAGTTTCCAGAGGACGTCATTTATAAGAATTGCTTGGTGTGGCCTTATTTCTATGAAAAGCTGCAATGTGTGACATTAAGGCCATAGCAAATAATTTGTTATGATAATATCAGCGCGCGAATGAATTTTCGCCTGATGTTGGAAACAAAAAAAGACATGTTGTATCCCTCTGACAGTGATCAACATGCCAAAAATGGGCATAGATGTCTGTTGCCATCCCGGAACGTGGATGACAGATAAATATAGAGACAGGAGACTAGAAAGGGCTTTGGTTTAATGGTTTTTTTTTTACTTTGATGCGGTGATATGTCATGCTGACTATGTATATGTTAGTTCCCACTGAGTCAAAACCAAAATGTAGGAACCTTGTTTTTTCGGCCCGCCTTGTTTTTTTTTTCGGCCGCTCGCATTAGATTTGGAGTCTGCGAAGGATGTCATCCAAAAAATTTACTTGCTGTAGCATTATGGAGCTGGTCGGATTTTCATCTCAGTGCGCTTCAGGGAGTAGGTTTGACCCTTCCAGTGCTTCCAGTTGACTCCGTCAGCGTAACTCTCATGAGTAGCCAGGTGGTACAGGCCGTTCAGGTTGGAGTTGTGGCAACTTTCGTACCACCACGCACCTTTGTACGCAAGAGCACAGCTGGACGTGCTGTCGTCATTATCTCTGTCCTTGGTACTGAATGGTTTCCCGTTATGTGACGTAAAGCTGTCTCCTGTGACAAAGAGACACATTTGACTTAATTTCTCTTGCGCTTAAATAGCAGATATATATTTTACTGTGGTCTTTACGTAAAGCTAGGTACAAAATAGGATAACAACAAAGGTTCAGATTAACATCTGAGATATTTTTTTAGCTGAGAAATGTTGCAATTTTTCCTTCTGTATAAATACTAATTTAGTAATCTAAATCATTTAATTTGAATCTTGCTTACATACTCGTATAAGAAGCAATATTATCCTCCTACGTTAATGCCGAACAAATTCAGTTGCTTCTTTCAGTATGACCTAACTCCACAATACCTAAAAGTAACTAGAGGTCAAGACAAAAGGCCACACAGGCAATTATTTTGTAGACGTACTTACTTTTTATATGAAAAAAAAGGTTCGTGATTTTAACATTTTACACCGTACGAAAAAATATAAATCAAAGATATTGCAACATCAAGACAATTTACATAAAGGTAACATTTGCAAAGCAAATGCATAATGTTTATCTTCGCATATTGTCTGCTCTGTTAATACTTACTCAAACACATTCATTTACATGGTGACAGGAGTCTTAACCCTCCTGCCATAAAATTGCAACATGATGTAACCCAATACTAGTTACCATGGTGATAGACGTCCCGTTCAGTTCATTTACCCAATTTTTCGGAGAAGAAGAGGAAACAGAGCAAAAACAATATATATTCCTTCGGTTAACATAATAAACAGATGGGCGGAAAATCATTCACTATTGACTCAACTCCGAGTGATGACCCTGCTACAATTGAAAACCTTACCTGCATTACCGCTGTAAGTCCCTATGTGGAGCTTGTAATTCTGTGATTCAGGTGAGATGGCAAACGTGTCGTAAACGGCGTACGCCGTGTTTCCCTCCACATCCTCCATATCCACCCTGAGCTGGTAGACTTTCTGCACAGCCAGGCGGTACAAGTTGTCATTCCCCAGCCAGAACTCGCCGTTCAGGTTGGAAGGGAAGCCGGTCTTGTAGTCCAACCAGCCCCGGTAGAAGTCCACACTTCCGTCTTGGCGTCTCTGGAACAACTTCAAGAGTAACAAGAAAATCGGAAATTTTAGAACGATTCCTCGTCATTCTGTCTGCCGATCCCCCACCCACGTGCAGCCGTTGATACCATCTACTCTAACTGAACAGACGCACAAACCCACCTCATCCTCCTAAAGCAATACTTCTATACACCAAGGGATAAAAGAGATTAGGATAACAAATATACCTTGGAATAAACTGTCGGTATAAAGTAACAAAATGATAACAAATGAAGCTGTATCTTTATCTGTATCTACTGTCTCTATAGCCGGTGTAACCGCCCCTTTGGCGTAACACATGAAGTTTCATATGTTACGAAGAAACTTCATGTCCGAACTTGTTTCCGAATTCTTGTTTAATGACAAGACTTACCGTCCAGCCGCCTCCGTCCGTATCCATATCACAGAAGACCAGGAAGTCGCCCAGGTTGTCCCGTGGATAAACCATGTACACGCCGCTGGGCGTGGTCTCGTCGTTGTCAAGGATGTCCTGACAGTCTTGGGGCTTGTCGGTGGTTGTGTCGTTGACTGAGGTACATAAAATGGTGTACAGTCGTAAGTATATTGCCGATTGACATACAACGTACCTACCGAAATTTATAAGTGTAAAGGGGTAACGTTGCATCACAAAGACCCTGTTTAAAGGAAAGCGCTGTAACTGCATTGGATCCAGGTTCCACCGAAGCAGGATTCATGTGGCGCCATCTGATAACTCTAAATCGCATTTAAAGTGCGTCCGACGCGGGGGGGGGGG